AATGTACAACGAATAATACCTGAAAATGAGGTAGTCTGCTGAAAATCAGGCACATTTTAGAAGCAGGAATATGTCTTTTCAAAAGAAGTGAGAAAGATCATGGTTTAATGTCAGTGGCAAATATTTTAATAAATACTAGTTTCCTAGCAAAAGTTGCAGCAGACAGAAGATTTTTTAATAAATACTAGTTTCCTAGCAAAAGTTGCAGCAGACAGAAGATTGCAGCTGAATGACAGCATATCATGATGCTAAATATAAAATACTAAGTAGTTATCTTTGTCTTGGCATCTCTGATTTTTCAAAACATTTTTTTTTCTTAAAGGATTAACATTTTTTTCCATCAAAACAGCAAGGTGAAGTAAGAGTCAGAATTTTGAATTTAATGCAAAACTGTAGCAAAAAAAAAAAAAAAAACAAAAAACACCTGCTGGAACAAAAAGCTATCAAATGTCATTTTGTAAGTTATGGTCCAGTGGAAACTGAACTGCTTTGCACTTGTGCAAATAATGCTAGTACGACAGGAAATGGGAATGCATGATAATAATTTGTTACATAGAGCTGTACAAAAATAATTATAGACAAATTCGTATTGTGTGAGAAAGAAGAAAAGAAAGATACCGAGTTCCATAGGTGTTTTGAGTTAGTTGCAGCACTGTTCAGCAAGGACTATCAGGATCTGCCGACGTAAAAGAGAATCCACAAAATTAATCTCTTCCTTTAATAAAGAAGATACATGTTTATCTTGTAAAATCAGAATCCTAGTGCAATATGTAGAAAGTGCTAAAATACCACAAACACAGTGCGTAAATCTCAGTACAATAAATTAAAGGATTTCTTGTCACCTGTAAACAAAAACCAGACTATTTATGTGTATAGTGGGTCTTTAGTTTGTCATCATCTAAATTGCTGTAGTCAGAATGTAATTGCTACTCCATGAACTTTGCAATTATCTACTTTGTTCTTTCGGGTAATTTAAGAAGGAAAGCTGATATGAAAACCAATTATGATTTCCCTAGATAATGGACATTTTTATACCAGATTTTTTTCTACTAGTTTGACATAGTGCGTTGTTAATATAAAGAAAGTTCCAGAACTGCTTAAAAAAACCCTGATCTATCAGGCATTTGCTCAAATATAAAATAACAGTCATTTAGAACTCCCACTCTGCTGAACCAAGACTTTATAAATTACCCCATAAAGCTTGTAGTTGCTTATTTATCTGTCTTCCTAGCTAAAGATAGGTAATGGACTCTTGCATATAGAAGCAATGAGAAAAGCTCTTTTCTTTATTTGTGGTTAAAGCAAGGGATTGTTTTGACTGTATTCAGAGAAAGCTATTATCAGGATCTACTCACTTTCTGATCATTAGAATGCTAATTCCGACCTTCAGATATTCGAGGTTTATACTGGACTACCTTAGCCACCTTTAGCTTGATGTTTGGCTAACCCTTGTTTTCCCCGTTTGCCATTGCCAGCAAGAGCAGTATGCAAACTAAGAATTTAAGATATACAAATTATTTCTGTGAAACATTTGTGTTTTGGTTTTAAACCACAGTTGGAATTCATGCCATATGTGGGGAGAGGGCTGGAGGAAAGGCAAAGATCAAGGCATGATGCCATATCTTTTTGAAGAATGTTTTTCCTACCACAGGTGATTCACATACCATGTTCTGTCATTTAATAACTCCACAGTTGCACAAAGGAAACCATCAGAGAACTGTGAGCTGGGTGGTGCATGCCCCTGCGTATGTGTGTCCATCCATATACCTGCACATACACAGGCACCAGAAAAGTATCAATTCCACTTGGCAAAAAAGGGGGAGACGTGTTAGACTCCTCTTGAATTGGCTGAAATTTTTTGTATGTTTATACCGAAGAGGTCTGAGTATAGATTTCAGCTCCAGGTATAATGCACACAGATTTAGATTGTTCAGACCCTGTTGTTTGGAGTGCATTTAAGGCTGCTATATATAATCAAAGTACATTGTCAGAACAAATGTTGTAGTGCATTTTTATGCTTTTCATTTTAAAATTCTTGATGGTGGTTAAATTAGTAAACTGCATAGTTTTTATAAATATTTGTATTAATAAATAATGTATATCTGTGCATTTGAAACTGAAATATGAAGGTACCTTGAAGTTCAAGCCAAACTTGCTGCTAAGATTAATTTCTCTCGATAATCTGTAAAAGAAATTTTGCTTAAAATTGGGCTTAAAATTGAACTGGATGAATCTGAGCTACTTTTAGGGACACATGGTTAGCGTTTGGAATTTTTAATTGCCAATACATACAAAAGTAAAGCAATTTTGGTATTTTAAGAACATCTAAAGCAAGTTAAAATTGGAGTGAGGTGAACAGTGTGTTGGTGCTGTATATTCTGTCCTGAGTATGAGTGCTCAAGACTTTCATCATGACTAATACATTTACCACAGGGATATAGTCTCATCTGATTCATGTTTCTTTCTAAATGGGATACCCTGTGAAAGGATCTCATTTCCAAATCCATATCTCTTCAGTTTGCTCGATTTCTGTGTGTGTACCTCAAGAAAAAAAAACCACCTTAATTTTGTGCAGACTGATGGATGTTAGAATAAAAGACCTTGGCAAATGGGATGTATGGTATTCTTTGTTCATCTGATTCATGCGTGCCATTCAAAAAAGTAGTTACTATGTCAAGTCTGGCTGTGACAGACACAAGTTAGACACCACACGTTTGACTGCAGGTCATCTCTGTATAGTGTTTTTTTCATAACTGGTATGCATTTTAACTTACAGCTTTGAACAAGATATACCAATGAACTTAATTAGTCTTTCAGTCTGAAGCCTGTGTATGTGGTGATAATCAGCAAGATTAACTGGAGTTGTCATGCTAAATATATCTGTGTTAAAGTAAATACTTTAATGTATGTGAGTTAACTCCTGAGAAAGTGATCTCATTCAGGATTAAAGTAGCTCCAGTTGGCGTATTTAATGCAGTACAAGAACTAATCGCAGCATCTCTAAGTTCACTTCTCTTACCGAAGTGCTAGCTGAGTTTTACAAACATATTACAAACATATGCTGTAGGACTCATAAAATAATCACAGAACCTTCTCACCTTCCAGGTCAGAAGAGAGGCATAAAAGGACAGCAGTGACCAGAAATGTAGCTTGTTGCTTTTCATGTGGTTTGGCTGTGGTTAAAGAGAGAAAAATTTTGTCTCTAGAGTACTTTCATCAGCACTAAATTCATTCTCAAATATTCATTCTCTGTTTTATGGCAAGTGTCTGAGGAAACTCATCAGTCTTCCCTTTCTTTCAGAAAAGGAAATAATATAAAATGTTATTTTTTACAATTTTTTATAGAACATGTGAAGGCAGCTGCCTGAAGTGTGCATGGCAGAGAAGAGGTCAAGCCTTTTGCAGTAAAAGTGTACTAGATTTTTATACATTATTTCTCTTGGCTTTTACCTTATTGTAACTGCTTATGAATGTTGCTGAACATGAGTTTGCCTTGTAAAGGTCATTTTAATCAGAAGGAAGCCTATTCCTGTAACAGCTATCTATTTATTTTATAACTATAATTATCTGAAATTATTTTACCTAAGAGAGTGCATATTCAACAGATAAGAAAGACAATGGTACAGTAACACAGCCAGCACACGATATATATATATACCATTTATTTATTTATTTATTTATTTTTGAGGGGGAATAGCTTCAGTCTAGCTTCGAGTTGTTATCTTTACTTGCAGGCAGAAGCTGTTATATTGTTAGCCTGGTGGCTGTGTGCAATATTCACTGATAATTCATTTCATACTATGTTTAGATATTGGTGCAGACAAATATGATTAATGTTCAGGGCACAGTTAGTACAGAGTATGTTTTTGCAACTGACACATAAATAATCCCTTGAGTGAGGTACTAATATATTCATATGGAGAATGTTAAGCTGAGTCTAGTTAGGTAATCTAAGAGTCTGGGTAGATGAAGCCCTTTCAGTTTCTCGTGAGGGATTTATAGCTCATTTTGAGGTCAGACACCTTGCTGATTTCTTCAGCAGTAGGCCTTTTTGACAATAAGGTTGGAGAATTATGTTGACAAAATGAGAATCCATTTACAGCTTGATTCCTAGTGGATTCATATGAGGGATAGATGTCTAATAGCTTTATGTGCTGGTTATACAGATCCACATGGGGAATAGAAACTACTTCTTAAATTATATACTTAGCCATGTATCCCACAGAGCAAGTTATCTGCTAGTTATTAAAGGTTCTAGTCCCAACTAAGTTACTAAACAGAACTAATCCTGAACAATTCAGTGAGGCTTTTGACCTCAGTCTAGGAAATAAATTAATCTGTGTTAGGCTGAAAGGCTCTGGACTACCTGGGCCTTAGATCCACTTAACTCTCAGAATTTAGCAACACACTCATTAAGACTTTTGATCCTAGGCTTCCATGCTCAGTTTAATATTTGCGTTAGAATTGGCACATCCTAATTTCTGACACATAACTTTGACGCAGGTAACGTGGCAATTTTTAAAAAGAGCTAAGCTTAATTCAGTTTTCAGGATTGCATGAAATATAATTGTGTTCATAAAGTACAACTGGTTTATTTTTTGGTCTTTGTATAAAAACTCCTTTCTCTATTTGTATTCAACAATAGTTAATCAATGCCCAGAGACACCTAATAATAATATAAGTGTTAACATGTTTATACACACGTATGAGGAAATTTGTTATAGTAAACTGTAGATGAATAACAAAAGATTGCTCAAAGTTTAGGGTTTAATAGAGAGTTTTTTACTGTCCTGAGATAAGAATAGGATAGGAATGAGCTGACTACCTAAGATTTCTCAGGAGTTACTCTATTCCATGGGTACAAATTAAGATCAGCTCTGCGCAGATCATATCTGATGTGTATATGCAGCCTATTTATTTGGACTGCAATGATAAGGTGTCACTTCTGGGACATCTGTGTTGGGCTGTACTAATGAGACTGAAACAATTTTATTTCACAGCTTTACCTACCCTGATACATACAAGGAGAAAAGTTGCTTCTGGCTGCAGTTCCTTCCCTCACTTAATTGTGACAGCTTTGCCTGAACATGAGGAAAAACACTGGTACGACGGCATGTAATTTCCAAAACAATATTTCCTGTTTGCTCTGAAGAAAAGACAAGAAGGCAGATGATCCATTCAACAGGTTAGATCTGATGTAGAGAGTATATAAGTTTATTATCTTAATTGTACCTTGGTGCTCCCTAAATGTTATTGTAAATGTAAATTTAATGTCCTGAAATGCAGGTGTCTTTCAAAGGGGTCATTCCCAAAGTATTTATAGTACTTATATACATATACCACAGTATTATAAACAATTTTAATATTGCCCTCATGATACGTATTTTACTTTCTTGATTTCTTGCTAGTCCCAGATTCCCACCCAGATCAATTTCCTTCTCGGTTGCAGCCCTCTAGAAAGGACATTTCCATTCTAGAAAGGTCTTCCTTAGTAAATATAATACTGACAACAACAAAAAAATTATACATTTATCTTACACCAAAATAAAACAAAATAAAGTCTGTCATTAGAATCCTTCTGCACTGTTTGCTGGTTCAAAATTAGCCACAAGAATAGTTACCTTGATGGAAATCTTGAGATATTATTTTTCTCCAACTTTGTATGGCAATAACCATTGTTGTACCCTGCCAAGGTCAGTTAATTCTGCCTGTTTGATCAAGCTGGGAATGTTTTTTTCTGTGTTAACTTTGTGCTTAATACATAGGTGAGATCAGACAACAATGTATCTGGAATAAACAAGTTTAAAGAATTTATTTGGGAACAGTTTGTTTGATGATCTTTCACTTGTGTATCTGTACACAGGGCATATAAAACTTCTAGGCTAGGCTACTAGCTCCCACATGAATCTGATCTTGAAGTTCTTAGGAATAAGGTTGAATAGTTTCTCATTTCTATCAGTGTAATTCTCCTAGTTAAAATTGCTTATGTTTTTTTCTGATGTGCAAGGCTGGTTAAAAAAAGATAGGTTAAAAAAAAAAAGTAATGCATTCTTCCAGGATTTGAAATGAGATGGTCATTTAAGTAATTCTGTGAGTTTAATTGATTTCCCTCATGAGATAATTACAGTAACAGTATCCAAACTTGAGATCCATACTGCTCACTACTGCTTGGCATATCTGTAAGAAGGGGAGTTGCCTGCTCCAAAATTCTTGTACTCTAAATACTTTGTTAGGGGAAAAAAAAAAAGGCAGGGGAACTACCCTTGTTACACTGGAAGGGGGGATGTTAGCATTGACAGTGATGTGGCTGGTCTCTCCGTTCTCAAGCAGTTCCTTATTTAGATGCTTTTTCTGCGTTTTTATTTCTTTCTTTCCTTTTTTTTTTTTTTTCCTATTGTTGATTTGAAAAATCTCCTTGATATGAGTCCCTGTCTGCCCAGAATGAACTGAGAAATATTCAAATCCAAAAATAAACCATGCATGGTATTTTTAGTATAGTTTCTAAATAGTTCCATACTCTGATGCAAGAAATTATTCTTGAAATGTAAACATCATCAGTGTTTTTACTGCTGTTCATCCTAAACTCGGTGGTAAATAGCAGTGGTTTTGCATACGTACCTAAGAACATATAAAAGACCTACTGTTATGTGCAGTGTCAACTTCTTCTGATTAGCCTGTTGCAGTACAAGTAACAAACAGATGCGCTATTCATGTATGTTGTGTACAAGAACTAACTACAGATAGGCTGCATTTTCTTTTAAGTACCTTATTATGTAGTGACAGTCATATTCAAAAGAACAGTATTAGAGCCAGATTCTTTGACAAATATGTCTTACTGGGTATGGTTAGTGAAATATGAATAAAATACAAACTCCCTAAAGCAATACAAACACTGGGAGGAAAAACGTAGCTGCAGGGACAGGAATTCATGGCTACTTTGGTACCTATTAGTCTCCAGTACTGTAATCAACTGCAAACAACAACAACAAAAATCACAACAACAACAAAAAATGTTTCCTCACATTTGAAGTGATGCAATAACCATGGTTCTTTCATTTGATTTTCTTTGAGTACCCACTAGTGCAACATTTTACTTGATTTGAAGGGAGTTTCTTATCTTACGGGAAGTTGGCCAAGGTGCCTTGAGAGGCTAATAGAAATAAGAATGAAGCAAGCATAGGGAGGAGCAGAAGAGTAAAAAGGGAAAGCTAAAATGGAAATAGAATAATTCATGGTCTAGAAGTGCTGTAAGTACTGAGCTGTAGTGCAGTCTTATTCTCTGCACAGAACTCTTGATTACAGCAGGAAGATTAGTGTTGGACCGAGGCCAGACTCTGCCAGTGTGAATTGCAGCAATTGGGAGATAGCATAAATTAATATTGGGTATAGCAGCTTAAGTTAGGCTTTTTGAATCTCATCTTTCCTTTGCCTAAAAATGCTATTATTATTTTTTTTCTGGTACTGTATACATAGATAAGCAACAATGATGCATATTTCTCCTCCACGTCATTGTAAAACAGAACAAATCTGTACAATAGCATACCTTACAGATCCTTTGCTATGCTATGATGTTCTTAGTACAGTACTATTGGAGATAATGACATGTACATATTCCCTCTTTGTTCTACCTATAATAGTATCCCTTATGAATATAAAGGAGCAGAGATAATGTAGTATCTTTAAAAAAAATTTCTTTGAATACTATGAAAATATAAAGCTGAATGAAATGACTCACAGTATTCATTTGTAAATACGCAAAGCTTGTTTTTAGCTGTTAAATTAGTTAAAGAAAAATTGGATCTGATAAGACTTGTGATTTTGATTGAATTGCATGTAGTTACGTCATCTCTAGCACATTAGAATGGACTTTAAAAAAGGTACAAAAAAGCTCTTCTGCTTCTTACATTATCTGTTATGTGTGTATCCCATCATATATCACTTTTTATTCCTCTTTGCTCAAGAATATACTGTAGTTATTAAAAAAAAAAAGGAGAGTAATGATTAAAAAATGGCATACCAAAGTGATTGATCTATTTCAACTTGTGTCTATACTGAGATAGCCAGTGAAATTTTCAGTTTAACAGTGGTATGAGATAATGACTAGAAAATAGAACAGAATAGAACAGTTTAGCTAGAAGGGACCTTCAAAGACCATGTAGTCCAATGGCCTGACCCCTTCGGGGATAATCAAAAATTCAAGCATATTATTGAGGGCATTGTCCAAATGCCTCTTGAACACTGACCAGTATGGAGCATCAACCACCTCACTAGGAAGCCTATTCAAGGTTTTGATCACTCTAACAGTAAAGAATTTTTTACTAATGTCCAATCTGAACATCCCCCAGTGCAACTTTGTGCCTTTCCTGTGCATCTTGTCACTGGTTACCAGAGAGGTTACCAGGGCACCTTCCTCTCTGCTTCCCGTCCTCAGGGAGTTGCAGAGAGCACTGAGGTCACCTCTGGCATTTCCTCTTCTCCAGAATGGACAACCCAAGTGTCCTCAGCCACAGGACATGCCTTCCAGCCCTTGTGTCAATCTTGCTGCCTTCCTCTGGATGCTTTCAATTTCCCTTTTTATATTGCGGAGCCCAGAACTGCACACGATATTGAAAGTGAGGCTGCACAAACATTAAGTATAGCAGGAGGATCACCTCTTTTAACCATCTGGCTATGCTGTGCTTAATGCACCCCAAAGTGCAGTTTGCCTTCCTGGCAGCCAGGGCACGCTGCTGGCTCCTGCTGAGCCTGCTGGCACCAGCACCCCCAGCACCCTTTCTGCAGGGCTGCCCTCCAGCCGCTCAGCTCCCAGTCTGTGCCCAGGGGCAGCACCCGGTATTTCCTTTGGTGAACTTCATGCTGTTGCTGATTGCCCAGTGCTCCAATCTATCTAAATCCCACTGCAAGGCCTCTTGTCCCCCCCGAGTCAACAAGTACCCCCTAGTTCAGTACTGTCAGCAAACTTGCTACGGATGCATTCAATACCTGCATCCATATCATTAATAAAATTTGAAGAGAACCTGCCTTAGAATTGAGACATGAGGAATGTGTCTGAAATGCATCTGAAACTGCAACAAAGGTAAAAGATAGGTGAGTGTTTTCTTTGGTCCAGTCTCTAGAAGTACATCAAAAAGGAATAAAAAAACGTATGTTCAGGTCTTGCTGATAGAAAGCAATACAGTACTTCAGAGAGAATGAAGTTATTGAATTCTGCCAATTTTTTTGCCTCTAGAATTAGATTTTACTGAAGTAGGAAGGATCTCTAGGTGTTTCTAATTGTAAAAACTTATACCTATGGTATCTTTCCTATTTTTATGGCATTGAACATTTCCTTGTGACTAAATCATGGTAGGGGCTTCATCTCTGTCTTTGGTGTACTCTTGTGCCAGGTTGCTGAATAATCTGTATGTTGGTATCAGAAGTGAATTAGTAGGGTGTTTTCAAATTGCATCAGGGAGCACTGAAATTTGAACTGTTTCTGTGATGATGCCAGTTTCTATTTTAATGGAATGTGGGATGAGTTTAGAATACCTAATGTCTTTTGCTGTATATTGATTACAGAATTTGAAGAATTGGGATTTTTGAAAAATTGGTTAGATATAGCTGCCTTTTAAGCATTTAAGTGTTTTTGACCTGACAATTATGAACTTGATGTTTATTTGGTTGATCCTTAGATCTCCCTTTTATAGTCATAAGTCAGCCTACTGAAATGAATGGAATGAAGAGTTTGAGCACTAACTGCTGTAGGCAGTAGAGACAGAGGTATTGTGGATAATTTGGGTTGTACCATGCGGGATCTGAAGAGGAATAGTCACCAGGCTCTCTAGGTTTTTCTGGACTGTGGGAAAGGTGTGGACCTATGCAATGAAAAAATGCCTGACCAGGTGCGAGCACCTTGAGGCAAGTGTCTGGAGTGAGCGCCGCTCTTGGTTTGTCCCTGTTATGATCCCATCTTTCTTTTGTTTTTCTACATTAAGCAGGCGTCCCTACGCTTACTCTTCATCGAGATGGTAGAATTGTAGCTGTACCATCAAATATGGCCAAGCTGCATTTTTGTGGTGCTTGCTCACAGAAGGTGGAATCGGTCACTGTTTGGGTTTTCTAGACGGGGAAGGAACAGCTTGTGGTACAGGCAGAGGGAGGAAAGATTTGACATCTTGTCAGGGGTGCTAAACCTCTGTGATTTTAGGTCTCCCCTACCAAATACATGATGGTATCCTATTCATGAGCTAGGACCTACTTCTTTGTGCAGATACAGAATTAGGGGTAAGAGTTAAATTGGCTTCGTGTGCAAGACCGTACACGCTGCATGCGAGCAGGGGAGCGCTGGGCAGGAGCTGTGGGGGTACCTTTCTCGTGTGCCTGTGCCATCTGAGGGCTTGTGCTGAACGAATCAGCAGGACAGAGGTAGGGCCAGCTGTTTGATCTTTCTGGAAGATGCGATTTGCACTTCGTTTTCCCGCTTCGGAACCACCTTGACAATGTCTTTTTCTTCCTTTAAAAAACAACAAGAAAAAAACACACAGAAAAGAAAAAAACAAAAACAAAACAAAACAAAAAACAGAAGCCAGGGCTTGTGGCGTGGCTTTGAGCACCAACCTCCGCTAGCCAGCAGCGGCACACGCCTGTGGCTAATGAACAGCTCCCACACAGCCGGGGCGGGGAACGAGCCGGGCCGGGCCGGGCCGGGCCGGGGGCGCGCAGTGCGGGGCGGCGGCCGCCAGGGGGCGGCGCGGAGCCGGCAGCGGCGCCATAAAGCGGCCCCGGCCCCGGCCCCGGCCCCGGCGGCGCGCAGAGCCGGCGGGCGGCGCCT